CCCAAGTCCACCTGCCCCCCCACCAGGATGGCTCCGAGGAGCCCCGAGCATCACGGTCCCGACCGCAGGATCCACGCGACCCGCATCCACCCTCCTCATCCTCCAAAAATCCACACTCCCCATCCACCCCACATACCCCACACCCCCTCCCCACGTGGGAATTGGACTCCCGTGGGCAAAATTTCTCACGGGGATGTTGAGGGTCTGGTCCCCGATGGGTGCCGGGTCATCAGCATCCCTGCTCCTAACGAGCGCTCCTTTAGGTCATCCCGCACTTGCCTGACACCGGGGAGATGCTCAACCCGGAGAGAGGTCCAACCAACCTCTCATTTTTTCTTCATTTTATTGTTTTTTTTCTCCCTCCCAACGAGAAAAATAAAATAAAATAAAAATAAAAACCCCAACCCTCTAACCTCCCTTCTTCAGCTCCAACTCCACTTGTCTACTTTGAGCCAGGATTACAGAACCGGGTAGGGGAGGCAGGTGGAAAATAACCCCGCGGTCCCGATCTCCTCGGCAAAGATTTCAGCCTCCTCGGGGCCATTTGTGCCCGTTGGTTCTTCTCCTCATCACCCCGGGTGCAGATATCGCCGCAGATCCCTCTTTTCTGGGAAATTTCCCTTTTCCCTGCGACCCTCCTCTCCCTTCTCCTTCTGCACTAGAAAAAATAGTACAACCCTGACAAGGCTTGCAGCATTCAACCGCTTGGCTTAACCCTTTTCTGCCAGGCCCGGAGCACAGGAGGTTGCATTTGTCCCAGTTTTTCTCCTTTTTCCTGCATTTTCTCCCCACCACCGGCTCCCCAGCGACTCGCTCAGGAGTTTGGCTGGATTTGACCTTCCCTGGCTCCCCCGAGCATCACGCAAAAACACCACAAACACCATCCTCCTGCCGCCGCAAAAAACACCCGGCAGCCACAAACCCCCATTTCACCAAAAAAAAAACAAAAACAACCAACCTTGAATTGCTTTTTATTTCTAAATTCTGCTTTTCGCCCTGCTTGGAAACTCTCTCCTCCCTTTTCTCCCTTCCCAAACACCCTCTCTGGTTTCTTTAACAGCGCAGAGATTTGCTTATTATTTATTTCTTAACGTGTTGATGTTTATTTGGCACGAGGTCCAGGCTTTCACCCTCCGAGTCTGAGCCCAAATTTTTGGTGCTGATCGGAGATGGTTATGGCATCATCTGAGTTGCCATCACGCATCCCAGCCCTCAGTTTCCCTGACTTTCTCCCCATCGCATGCTTTCCTAGCAAATATACCCGTCCTCCTCCTCCTCTCAAGCATCTTTGGGGTTAATTCATGCAAATTTGGGGGCTGGGAGCGTGGAGGAGGTGAAGATTTGCCCAAAGACCCCTCATTTTTCTCCCCCCCCTCCCCGCAGAGATGACTGCAGGCAGGAGCCATGCCGGGATTTCGGAGGGGTGAGACGTCGAGGACAAGGTCGCGTCTCCTCGACTGAAATACAAATCCCTCCATTTGCACAGTTTATGGGCAGGCTGTGTTTAAGCAGGGCAGCGGGCGGGGAAGAGGAGGGGGGGATGAAGGAAAGGATGCAAAGAAAAGGGGAGGGAGGGATTTGGGGGGGTGGGGGGGGAAGAGAAAAAGGCACCAACTTACAATTGGCTCTGCAGTCAGGCATGCGGCGAATGCACAAGCAGCCGCTCGGCTCCGCGCCCGGCACCGGCACCTCTCACCTCCGGCCCCCCAAAAACTCCAACCCCTGGAGTCAACCTCCGATGGCAGCAGAGCTTCTCCATGAATATTCATAAGATTAATACCCACCACCGGCTCCCCAGCGACTCGCTCAGGAGTTTGGCTGGATTTGACCTTCCCTGGCTCCCCCGAGCATCACGCAAAAACACCGCAAACACCATCCTCCTGCCGCCGCAAAAAACACCCGGCAGCCACAAACCCCCATTTCACCAAAAAAAAAACAAAAACAACCAACCTTGAATTGCTTTTTATTTCTAAATTCTGCTTTTCGCCCTGCTTGGAAACTCTCTCCTCCCTTTTCTCCCTTCCCAAACACCCTCTCTGGTTTCTTTAACAGCGCAGAGATTTGCTTATTATTTATTTCTTAACGTGTTGATGTTTATTTGGCACGAGGTCCAGGCTTCACCCTCCGAGTCTGAGCCCAAATTTTTGGTGCTGATCGGAGATGGTTATGGCATCATCTGAGTTGCCATCACGCATCCCAGCCCTCAGTTTCCCTGACTTTCTCCCCATCGCACGCTTTCCTAGCAAATATACCCGTCCTCCTCCTCCTCTCAAGCATCTTTGGGGTTAATTCATGCAAATTTGGGGGCTGGGAGCGTGGAGGAGGTGAAGATTTGCCCAAAGACCCCTCATTTTTCTCCCCCCCCTCCCCGCAGAGATGACTGCAGGCAGGAGCCATGCCGGGATTTCGGAGGGGTGAGACGTCGAGGACAAGGTCGCGTCTCCTCGACTGAAATACAAATCCCTCCATTTGCACAGTTTATGGGCAGGCTGTGTTTAAGCAGGGCAGCGGGCGGGGAAGAGGAGGGGGGGATGAAGGAAAGGATGCAAAGAAAAGGGGAGGGAGGGATTTGGGGGGGTGGGGGGGGAAGAGAAAAAGGCACCAACTTACAATTGGCTCTGCAGTCAGGCATGCGGCGAATGCACAAGCAGCCGCTCGGCTCCGCGCCCGGCACCGGCACCTCTCACCTCCGGCCCCCCAAAAACTCCAACCCCTGGAGTCAACCTCCGATGGCAGCAGAGCTTCTCCATGAATATTCATAAGATTAATATGAGCATCTTCCCCCCACCACCATCACCATCACCACCACCACCCCCTTCCCCTTCCTGCCTCCCTCCTCCCAAGCAAGAGACCTAGATTTCAACCACTGGGAAATAATCATATCCCTGGATACGTGATGCTGCTTTGCCGTGCGGCTCCCATCCATACCATTTTCTCCCTAATAGCCTGGATCTGCTCGGGGAGGTCTTTTTGGGGGGTGGAGAACCACCAGCTCTGCACAGGTTTGGGGAAGGAGATGGGGGCAGGATCGGACTTGCAGGGACCACACCGTCCTGCTCCTGGCTGGGGTGAGGAGGTATAAAGGAATAATTTTATATCACGTTGACTCACAGACCTCCCATCACAAGGAGGCATCTCCCACCCCCAAAGGAGGGAGGTGGACAAAGCTCCTCCAAACTTGGCATTAAGATCGATGGATCGACCCCTGCAACAGGGCAGGAGGGAGATGCCTCTGCTTGGATCTCTCAAGGAGAGCATCGGGGCAGCAACAAGTCCTGTAGGGCTCCTGCCACCCACCAGACACGGGCCCTGGAGGAGGTGGTGGAAATATTTCTGTTCCCATGTGCCACGGTCAAATTTGCAAGGGGCTGCCCAGGCTGGTGGCCATCACCACAGGGACAACAGCCTGAGGTGGGATGGGAGGGCATGGACCACCCTGAACAGCCAAGAAAATCAGTGCTAAGCACTAACCCAGCCAGGGGGTGTGGGGGACACAGTAGGGCCAGAATGTATTATTTTAGGTCCCTGAGGTGCCAGGACCTAAATGGGGCAGTGAGGGGGATGCCATCGCCCACCCCTCTCCTCCCAACACCCCTCTTCATCTTGAAATGAGAACTTATTTCCCCAAACCCCAGCCAGATTCCAATATTGAAAATGAATGAAAGTTGGGAATCCTTCGCTCCCTGCCACAAACAGCCCTTGGAGGTGGGGGTTTTCCTGCTGCACGCATCCAACTGGGCAGGAGGCTACTCTGGAGGAGGGGATTTTTTAATGTTTTCTGCATCATTTTAGCCTTTTCTGAAGGCAGATCTGCCATCGCAGGGTAGGCTGAATCCAAAAAATGATTTGCCCGAGGCTAATCCTTATGCAATATGCAGAAACTGAGGCCGGGCAGAGAACAATTCCAGCCCAATGGAATTTCTAACCTTATTCCTGCTGCCGCCTTGCGAAGGTTTTACAAAACCTGGGGGGGGGATTTGTCATATAAACAGCACCAGCTCCTTACCAGGAGCCAAAATCCTGTGTCTCCAGCAAACCGGGGGAATTTCTCTGAATTGAGTGACGCTCTCCTGATTTACTCTCCTAATTGTGGAGCTATTATCCCAGCCTGTGTGTCTGCACCCTCCCTCCCCCCCCGCCACACTGACAGCTCCCGTCGAACCCAGCCTTTCAGAGCCGGAGACGAGCTGATGCTCTGCACCCACTTGTCTGTTTTACAGGGGTTTCCCCAGCCCGTGTCTTCACATCGATTATTATAGTTAAAAAATTAAGTCCTTTCCGGAATATTTCTCTTATCCACGTGGACTTCGTAGGCATCCAAACTGGAAGTCGTACCCCAGCGTGTGTGTGGCCCCTGGGAAAGTCACTTGGTGTCAGGGTGTCCCAGGGACCAGGAGATCTGGTGCCCAGGTCCCATCAGGAAGCAGAGGAGCTCCCCTTGCTTTCCTGCCTTTATTTCCTGGGAAGCCCCCAAAGGCTGTTCAGACCTTCACAGGCTTCCAGCCAGCCTACACCTTACAAACAAAAGGCAAAAATGTGTTTTTTCCCCTTTTCCCCCCTCCCATCCCCCCCAGTATACTGGTGGAGAGTTTAGAAGATGCTCCATGATGGGGGCATGGATGAAACCCACAGGGTGTCCCCAGGAATGGCCTCATCCAGAACAGCAGAGCTCAAGCCCTAGAGTCACGTTGCAAAGCACGACCCACACCCAGCCCCACACCACAGCGACGTCCCAGGCACCCACGTTTCCCTGTGCTGCCATAAGCCCAGCTGCTCCCTCACTCCCTCCTGGGGAGGGCTGGGAGAAGCTCTCCAGAGAGGACAGACCATGTCCCACCACCTTCACACGTCCTGATGGTGGCTTCTCCCCGTAGTGTCCCTCCTGGGGACCCCATGCCACCTCCTGCAAAGCCAGAAGGAGTTTGAGGGCTGGAGAGGACACATGCCAGGAGGAAGAGCTGAGCTTGACCAAGGCTTGACCAAGGTGCTGAGCAGAGCAGGGTTGGACAAGGTGGGGTTCTGAGTCCCCATCTCCATCTGAGCCATCGCTTTCCAGCCAAAGGGGTTGACATAACTGGGCCCCGTGTCATTTTGGGAGCTGTGAAAGCTCTAAGTGGGTTCCCCAGGGCTGTGAGTCACCCTTCGGGGAAAGCATCCGACCTCCCACCGCTGCCTGCGTCAGAGGAGAGAGCTCCTGTCCCCCAGCACCCCGGCACCCACACCTCGGCGCGTGGTGGCAAGAAGAAGGGACGCCGAGAGACATGGGTGACCCCGATGTGGTGGCACAGCATCTAAAAGGGAAGGCAGCCAGGGAACATAGTGACACGGACCCGCGGAGCAGACTTTGCTCTTCCACAGCAGGTGCTGCTGGTGGATCCCAAAATATCGTGGTGAGATGGGTCAGAGCAGCTCCTCCTGTCTGGGAAGACGGGGGAAGATCAGGGGTTTGCCCAAGGTTATGCGGGGGAGGAGGAGCAGAGGAGAAAACGACCTGGGAGGATCTCCTGGTCCCTGGGAGGATCTCCAGGTCCCTGGGAGGATCTCCTGGTCATGGGAGAATCTCCCGGTCCATGGGAGAATCTCCTGGTCCACGGAAGAATCTCCAGGTCACTAGGAGGATCTGGTCCGTGGGAGGATCTCCTGCTCCATGGGAGGACCTCTGGGTCTATGGGAGAATCTCCCAATGCCTGGGAGGATTTCCTGACCCATGGGAGG